TAGTTAGTGGCGTTTTTGTAAATGGACACCTCTAACTAGCATTCTTGCAAATGTGCATACAAAAAGTGGCATTTTTGTAATTGTCTTTATAAAGTTTATGGTGATTTGTATATAATATAAAGATCAATTTTTTATTATATGTTAGTTAGTTTTTCTTCTTTTCCACAGATTTGATTTCGTTATGATGTACCTAATCCCCAAAATTTTGTATTTGAACTTTTGAATGATAATTCTTCAAAACTGTTTTTTCCTTCTATTTATGAAGTTTAAAGAGAATTTGGCATGAATAACCAAACAAACAATTAACCATCAAACCAAAAACCCCTTATGTGGCAAAATTATAGTCACTAAATTTAGGACTTTTGGTTAGATTACCACTTATATTTTATTTTTTCGTTATTAAACAAATTAATTCAAGTTTAAAGTGATAGATTTATTCTTTATTACTTTATTCTTTTATTTTCGAATCGTGTAATCTTGGAATTCATATTTATGGCCCTTAAGAGTTATGATCAAACACATTGTGGTTTGGCCCAGGTTTATGCTTCTCTGCCTAGGTTGAGATTTTAACCCATATTCCTAAACCCTACTTGTTCTCTTCTTACTATATAAATGGCAATAATGACTCTTTAAGAACCGAAGCTCAGTTTTACTCTCACCCTTTGAACCTTTAACCAAGTATGGTTTCTGTCGCTCAGCTCATAATTGTCATAATGGTAACAATGTAATCTCATCTATTGAGAAGTGATACTTAATAGAAAGTCTTTAAAAACTTATCAGTCAACTGTAATCTCAGAATTGTCATAATGGTAACAAGATAGATCCCATATGACACATTTTTGTTTTACCCAAATGTGCACCTTTTGTGCTAACGGTTCCCACTTTCGTTCCCACACATGACCCTTTCTTCTTAAGATCTTCCGACAAGTTCTGAAAAAAAACAATCAATGTCACATCAAAAACCAAATCTATCCAAACCTAAAAACCTTCATCCATTCACATGTAAACCCTAATCTCAGACCAATAGCAACCATAAAATCATTCTTCGGCTTAAAAAGAAAGACTAACGTGTGTGGATCTAACAACTTTTAGCATCAGTTTCTCTACTTAACTTTTCTTATTTTTAGATCGACTTCAGGGGTGTATAAACTTGATTCTTCAAAGGCTTATATGATTATATCACTCAATGGTTAAATTCATCTATTCATATGATAATTTTACTCGATAAAGAAATAATTTTCCTCCCACCATTTTGTTTATATTTTATTTTCAAAATATCAATAATGAGTGGTCCAAAATTTATTTTGCTTGTGACTTTTAGATTTTCAGGGCATGTATTGTCTACAAAAATCTATGTAAAAAATAGTTTGAAAATTATTTGATATGTCAAAAAGAAGTGTAAAGTGTTTCTCTGTACTTGTGTTTAATATGATAAGAAGATTGATTTCTTGCAACTTTTTTTTGGTTAAATGTGTTATTTAGCGAAGATAAACTCATAAAAACGAAAAGAAAAAAATTAAAGAAAATAAGGTATAGAATGAAAAATGCTTATGAAGTAGTCTTCGAGTTCACTATCACGTTGAAAGTGGTGATTTGGAACCATTTGGGCATCAAAGTTATATAGACTTTATACTGGATGCACTATGCAGTCTTGTTGTTGTAGAAAATACAATATCTATTGGTTAGGGTAATAAACAAAAGAAAGGTGGCTATGGCCAAGGCACAGGGGAAACCTTCCTTAGCCATTGAAGTATCTTGAAGTGTGAGTACTTACTAACCCCAAGTTGGACTAGTAGAAGTATACCATAAGAAACATACCACAGCTGATCACCTTTATCTGCCTTTGTTTCTTTAAGTAGATTCATGGCTGATCATGATGCCTGGAGAGAATTTGCAGAAATTTATGTTTCCTTGCAAATGTGCGCCTCTCTATCTTCTGTCCTCTGACTATTTTTTACAAACAATTCACAATGTAACGATTTACAAAAAAAAAATTTCATTTTTTTGGGGTTTCTCTCTTCTCAACCCATTCTAATTATAATCTGTGACAGGTACAAACAAGCAGCGTTCTGCTACGAGGATCCCATACTAAGGCCATTCTTTTATATCCTTTGCTAAACAAATTCAGTCTATTCCTTCTCTATACATTTATGGAGCCGTCACGAAAGGAGTATGTTTGAGACATTGTATTGAGAATGCGTCTCATAAGAGATTTGTCACCGATTATATCTTAGACTGGAGGTTAATGGTCATTCATATGTATAACTCATGCAGTAACAATAGAAAGCAAACTATTTTCTGATATATATTGTGTTATTAATGCAATTTTACATTTCTGTGCAATCGTTAAAATCAGGTTCTCTACACAATTGGTGGACTTGAAAACCTCATCGCAGCAAGAAAGTAATATGCTGCAACCATAGACTTAATAGGTGGTAAAAGCACAAGAGCACTTCTTGGAATTTGTTTGGTAAGAGTCCATTTCTTCCTCACACCGGTTGATTCCACTTCCGGTTTGCAATTTGACATAATGACTGATACATCTTCTCATGACCGACACATCTTTTCTGAAATCCGTGTGGATCGCACAGCTGGCAAGAGGCAGGAACAAATTAAAGAGGACAAGGACATGGCTGCACCAGAGCTTCAGTCACTGGCTGCAACCGCATTGGAGAAAGAGTACAGGCTCAAAGCTCCATCGGAATTCAACCTCCTCTCTTGAGCGTTAAAAAGCTTGAAACTCTCTTAGTTTAAGACCACAAGAGGCAAACGATCGCAGGTTGACAACTTTTCTGGTTGTTGGTTTTAAAGCTTTTTATCATCAAGACTTTTCTGAAACTCGTTTCCTTTTTTCCGCTTATGATTTTGTTCATTTTCCCTCTTGGCTATATATTGAATCATTGATACCCAAATTGAAGGTCCCCAAAAACTCGAAAATAGAATAATGGAGAAAAAGCGAGACCTCTTCAAGCGTAGTTGAAGAAAACACCTATGTATAAAAAAAAAATTAATCATGAATTCTTGGTATGTAACACACTACAGAAGCAAATAATCTTTAAGCAAGTTCACCTGTAAAGAAACTCTAACTACAAGGTTGAAAATAATCAGAGGTTTGCGGTTTCATGCAACCGCCTTGCCCATCTTCTAGCCATAAAAGGATCATGATAGTCCCAAGTTTCAGTACTAATAATGCTTCTTCTTACACTAATGGTGTTCATATATTCGTCACCACTCCCACCTGCAGCTTCAAAATCATCAGTTTTAAGCCCTTCCTTATCACCGAACCTCAATGTTGTCTCTCCACTTATCCTCCTACACTCATCAGTGTCGTCTCCTTCAACATAGCTATAGCAGAGACGAACATTGTCATGCACACCAAGATCAAGCAACACTTGCCTCTCTTCACCTCCTCTCAACTCACCTAATCTAACAATCTTCTCTTCGATCCCGATTCCCAGTTGAATATCCCTTGCTACTCCTCCCAACACCTTCTCTAGAAGCTCTTCCAACTTATCATTCATCACAAAACCATTCCAAGTCTCATTACCGAATCCCACATGAAACCTATGGACCATTACACCAATCTGCATCACACTGTTGGGATAATATGATGATCTTCTTATCGGACTACTTGAGATATGTAGAATGCTGCAATGCGGATTCTTGTATGCACGATCTTTGAGTACTTTAATGCCTTTAAGGATGCCTTGAGAAGGATCAGTTTGTCCCATATAGAAGAGACGGTCAATCACTCGTAGAGCAGCCTGCTTTCCACTTGATGTCATCCGCCTTAGAGCAAACACACGAGCCGCGACACACGAGTAAGTCACTATGGCTAGACGATCAACTGGTCGGAGGGACAAGGTTACCAATATCATTGCCTGCTTGAGAAGCCGCAAATGTGTCCCCCTAGGACTCACAACCAAGACCAAGTCAATGGGTGTTCGATTTGTCAGTTTCACCGAGAGATAAGCATTTCTACACATTTGTAATGGAGGATATTGACCTTGGTGAAGGCGTAGCAATTGGAAGCAGCATGGAGAGTGGAGAGGGATTAAAGAGAAATCTAGACGAGGATAACTAGTGGAATGAGTATAGTCGATAGGATCATCATCGTTGTAGCGAGTAGAGCGGAGAAACGAGCACCTATTGACGCGGAAAGTGGCAATGGAATGATCAAGAATGCGAAAAACAGGGTCGTCTAGTTGGCGTCC